CCTAATATAGCAGCTGTATTCAACATATTCGTTTGATGAAAAGAGTACTGTTAGTTTAATTTTCCCACAATTATATGAGTAGACCTTACGTTTGCAGTTAGTTTCACATTGCCTTGATTGCTGCACCCCCACGGTTCGAATCCCGCCGGGAGTGCTGATGAGACCAGCTCAGGCGTTGTCAAAACTGCGGTCTACTTCTGCCCTGATTAAAATACCTTTTGGCAAGCAAGGCTGTGTGAAATTCAATGGAAACATGAGACCTCCTCATATGATTGTACAAAAATTCAGCTACCAGTCCTCATCACCTTAAATTAAATAGGCTAAACACATCTCAAATATCTGATTTAATGGTAGTCTCAAAAACAAATGAAAAATGTTTCTATTGCTCAATCTCTCCTTCTCTCTTCTCTTATGGTCGCTTTTCAATTGTTAGCAATTAATTATTGCTGCTATTATAACAGTAAGTTGCAATTAAATAATACTTTATGCCTTCTTCGCCTAGATACACATACCTGCCGATTCTCATAATTTGTCAACCAAGTTTCCGATATGGGCCTTGCGTCAGTTCCATTTCTGTTGTCACTGTGGGCAACTGGCCATTTTGTAGAAGCTGCGGTCTTTCCATTCAAGATGTCCCTTGCCTAAGATTTCTGTGCCCGGTAAATCAGGCAACTGAGAGCTGTAAAGTCGTGACAAATCGATAATGAGATGGCTCCAGCTGGTTGAGCCACATGAGGGCCTATACCAACTCAACCCAACTCTTATAACTGAAGCAACTAGGGCTATAGGGACCGTGATATTTCACCCCTTAGCCCCTGTCACACCCTCACACACACACACACACTCACATATATATATATATATATATATACCCTCAGGCCTGTCTACATGGCGGCAGTTTTCCTGAGCCCCGTACCTATATTTGTGAATCCGTGTGGTCGTCCAACCTGCTGGTAGCCATTTCGGTTTGGCCCTTCCGGGTCAGCTTTGGTCGTGCAGGCTGACCTTGTCGTCTCAGCTGGCAACCAAAGCCTCGTCTCTCGCCCATCGCCCATTGCTGTGCACCCAACTTTCAACTTTCTTGCCTCAACTCCATCTCTCCAACCTCCCAGCAAACGCTAATCTCGCGCCATCTGCCTCCCGTCCACCCAAGTCCACATTTTATAGCATGTCCTACTCAACCCACTGCAAGCTCGGCCAGTGTGGCGAGAATGCTAGTCTCGAAAACCCACTCAAAGAGAAAAATAGGTAATGTCGTCGAATGCTATAGCAAATACAACCTCGTTTCATTGACAATCCCACCAAAGAATGTGATATGGAGAAATGCCTGGCCTTCGTTTAAATTCACATCTGCCCACCAACTAAAGGGCACTCGTCACAATGTGGCGTAGTTGTTAACACATCGAGATTAGATGCTGTATTGTCATGGTTCGAGTCCCGCTCAGGACCTGATGAAGCCAGTTCAGGCGAGGTCAAAACTGCAGTCCAGCCCTTACTGTATCAGAATACCTTTTGATAGTTGAAGGTAAATGGAAGCGTAGTACATTATTGTGGGAAAATTCAATTGCCAGTCCTACATCACTTTAAACTAAATAAAGTGAGTACATAAATTAATTAAGGGATTCTTCAAAAACCTATTTTTCTGCATTTTTCCGTTCCAATGCCTTGCTTTCCCGACGCTTCTGCCCAGTTTCTGGGACGCCTCGAGAGTCGGAGGAGGTTAGGCCATGCACAGGACTTAACGCCACAGCCCGATCGCTACGGCGCAGAGCACACCAACGGATTCGGGCCTGCTCAAGGCGACGGCACGGAATCAGAGCTCGACACCAGACTAGCCTGACGGTCCCACGGAAATTTGTGTCTCGAGGCGAGCTGACGAGACTCTGGTGTCACTGGTTGCTGGGTCATCTGGGAGGTCATGTTTCCCGAGGGTTCGCCTGGACGCATCTCACCCGGCCACGGGCCGACCTTCACTCCCTTCTTCTCACTCTCGCCTATTCCACATTCCTTCCAGCGACTAGTTGATACTGGAATGCGTAGCTCCGTGTCTATCTATATGCTTGTGTGTTAGTGTGTGTACACGAATGTATGTATGTATGTATGTATGCTTTTAAGCATACTTATATACTCAGCCTGCTGACAAGTCTATGCACACACATATATAAGTGGGCCCGTATATATATGCTGTACATATAAATATATATGTATACATAATTGTGTATATTTATATATATATATATATATTGCGTGCTTGTGTGCGTATATGTGCGTGTATGGACAACGCCGGTTTACAAGTGACAGCCCGTCAAGCTGAAGTGGCCAACCCCCCCTCGGTTGACTGTCAGCCTGTTCAGAGGGCAAAAGAGGCCACCCGCTCCTCACCCTCTTGTCGAGCCATTCGACTGGCCGCCCACCACTTGGGAAACCGGTCGCGGTGGCCCTGTGGAACTGGGACAAAGTTACACCTGCGAATGAGCGGGCCACAAGTGCCGTGCCGGGTGTGCAGCTGTAGGTCACATGCACCGTCAACATGAAAACGAGTTCGCCTTGCCCGCCCGAGGATGTGGGCGCGCCACTTGAGGTGGTGCTGGAGTGTGGGACGCCTCGGCAATGCAATAAAGGGCTATAAATAATATAAAAATAAGAAACCTATTCAGCCTAAGTCACATAAGGTGATGAAGGACTGATAGTTTAATTTTTCCCACAATCACATGAGTAGGCCATTGAATTGCACTTATCCTTGCTCATCCAAGCTCGACTGTAGGTTTCACCTCGTCCGGGTGCCATCTTCCCCCCTCAATCGCAGTAGAAAAATGTGGCATACCACTCGTAACAATAAATGCTGTCGTGACTGGGTTCGAGTCCCGTCTAGGGTGGTGATGAGACTCAGTGGGCCTGGATGAAAATTCTTTGTGTGAAGCAAGGCCTACTCAGGTAATTGTGAGAAAATTTAGCACCCTATGCGAAATAGGATGAATACAATTCTTATTCAAGGTCTATTGGTATTCTCGATGTTTACTTGCAAAGAATATAGCATAAAATTTCCCAAAGCGATAGCGGAGCTCTACTGATTATTCTGTAGCCTACTAATAATGAAGAGATGTTTATAGCTTTACGAAAACTAATGGCAAAACGGCAAAACGTTTGTCGACTATACAGCAATGCCCCATTTTTATGGACAACTAAGAGGGATGATCAGAAAACAATGCAATTGTGATTGGATTTGTTAGCAAAAGAACATTACGCTGGTTGCCCCATCTTCCAGAGACGGTGACTTAATGAACATGACTGTATAGGCTTGTGGATTGTCTCGGTTCGAGCTGCATCATCACCATTTCAATAATGGCCATGTAGGGATACAGCCAAAGAATAGAAAAATGGCCAACATTATAGGGAAACTAAGAAACAAGATTGAAGTAAAATTGAGGAGGGACCAAAGAAGAGCAATAAAATTAAGCATAGGGTTTGTTGTGCTTAAAAAAGTAGATATGGCATATGCAAGATTATCAGTAAAGGCTCTACAGAAACTCGGGAGCCTAGACTAAGGGGTTGTTTGTAAAATTGTGGGACAAACAGGAAACTGAGGTGGAGAATGAGAACACTTCTTCAACATGAGTCCAGGATTTTAAATGCACAAGGTCTGCACTAGTCACATAGTAAGGTTATCGTGATGCATAAACACTAAGATTTATTTGTCACTAAGTAAAGCGAATCTTGGAGACCTGGTTGTTTTTAGTAGAAACTTCTTTTTAATGCATTTATTTAGTCGATGCTCAGAGGATAGAAAGTGAGGATTTGCTTGTAGATTCTGATGTAGGGTCGATGTACCTCAACATTTATGGAGACGAGACTCAAGAATTAGTATTGGATCAACTCCTAAATAATGTAGTCAGTAAAAATCTGGGTAAGGATTCAATAGTGTTATTTATAAATTTTACGAAGAGCCGTTATTGCTTACTTTATTTTTAAAGGTCATTTTAGCAAATAATAGCATGCCTCAGTTGCAAGACCGCCTAATTCAAGGAACACGTTTATCACCTTAATTATTGGTTCGATAGATGGATACCTATTAGGTATGAAATCCATACTAATGAAGAGCTTGCGTCTTGTAGATGTTAAGTATCGGAACCAGAAATCGTGTCAATTACGAGATCTTTGGTTTAACACAATTATCCCATAGGACTCATTCACAAGTATTTTTGAATATTAGCAGCTAGGATAGAGAGCAACATACATTTGTGGCATTTCCTACGGTCCCAGTGTTGACATTCTGTCAGCTCTTAAAAATAAGGGAGTTAATCAAGAAGTGCAACGCCTAGCTTGATATGGAGATTCTATCAATTAACGCAAAACTAGGGAATGTATAAAAATCAAGAAATTGGCCAAGGCCCTGAATGGAAAAGGCCTAAGGGAAGAGAGAGAGCGAGAGAGAAAATGAGAGGGGGTTAGCACGAGTACTGTCGAGGCTTGCTTAACCTCGAAACTAGTTTTTCCTTTCA